TTAGGTATCTTTATTTCGAAACGTTTCGCCTACACAGTAGGCTTCTTCAGTCGAGTACAGAAAAGTTGATAGAAGCAGAAGATACTGAAGACGATGTAATCAGTCCATCACCCTTAAAGTTTTGAGGTGGTCAGTCCCTCAGTGTGGAGAAGAGCATTGTTCCATTGTCTGAAACAATATTGTTTCAGACAATGGAACAATGCTCTTCTCCACACTGAGGGACTGACCACCTCAAAACTTTAAGGGTGATGGACTGATTACATCGTCTTCAAGTATCTTCTGCTTCTATCAACTTTTCTGTACTCGACTGAAGAAGCCTACTGTGTAGGCGAAACGTTTCGAAATAAAGATACCTAACTGTTGCATATGTGTCTTACCTAACACTCCATACTACAGAATGGACATAAATTCCTTAGAAAACATTCAGCGTAGGATGACTAAATTAATACATAGCATTAGAAATCTTCCTTATGAAGAAAGATTGAAGACTCTTAAGTTACATTCACTTGTTAGACGAAGAATGAGGGGAGACCTGATCGAAGTGTATAAGTGGAAGATAGGTATTAATAAAGGGGATATTAACAAGGTCTTGAGGATATCTCTCCAAGAGAGAACCCGCAGTAATGGATTTAAATTAGATAAGTTTAGATTTAGAAAGGACATAGGAAAGTATTGGTTTGGAAATAGGGTAGTTGATGAGTGGAACAGTCTACCTAGTTGGGTTATTGAGGCTAGGACTTTGGGTAGTTTCAAATTTAGGTTGGATAAGTACATGAGTGGGAGGGGTTGGATTTGAGAGGGACTTGCACATCGGAGCTTGTTTCTTGGGTGGCATTGAAAATTGGGTTGGTCAAATGTTTGTTAGTGGGATGAATTGTAAAGGACCTGCCTAGTATGGGCCAACAGGCCTGCTGCAGTGTTCCTCCTTTCTTATGTTCTTATGTTCTTATACAATGTTATGGTCCTTGAAGGTGAGATCCTCCGATATGATCACTCCCAGGTCTTTGACGTTGGTGTTTCGCTCTATTTTGTGGCCAGAATTTGTTTTGTACTCTGATGAAGATTTAATTTCCTCGTGTTTACCATATCTGAGTAATTGAAATTTCTTATCGTTGAACTTCATATTGTTTTCTGCAGCCCACTGAAAGATTTGGTTGATGTCCGCCTGGAGCCTTGCAGTGTCTGCAATGGAAGACACTGTCATGCAGATTCGGGTGTCATCTGCAAAGGAAGACACGGTGCTGTGGCTGACATCCTTGTCTATGTCAGATATGAGGATGAGGAACAAGATGGGAGCGAGTACTGTGCCTTGTGGAACAGAGCTTTTCACCGTGCCTGCCTCGGACTTTACTCTGTTGACTACTACTCTCTGTTGTTAGGTTGTTAGGTAAGACACATATGCAACAGTTAGACAACTTTATTCCGAAACGTTTCGCCTACACAGTAGGCTTCTTCAGTCGAATACAGAAAATAGGCAGGAACAGTAGAGATGTGAAGACGATGTAATCAGTCCATCACCCTTGTAGTCGTAGAATTTGAGGTTGTCAGTCCCTCGGCCTGGAGAAGTTCAGTTCCATAGTCAGGAACTATCTGAAGATCAAGCGACAGTGCGGAGACTTTAATACTGTCGGAAGGAGAGGTGCAGAGTAGTGGTAGTAGTAGTGAGAATGTGACCACTGAGAGGTCATGTCCCTCTCAGATCCAACCCTTCTCACTTGAAAAGCTTGTCCAAGGTGTTTTCTGTACCAAGATGCCATGTGTTGCAGTGTCTGACTACTACTCTCTGTTCTGTTAGTGAGGAAATTATAGATCCATCGACCGACTTTTCCTGTTATTCCTTTAGCACGCATTTTTTGCGCTATTACAGGGCATTACCTGATTACCTGCAAGTAATTTGGGTGAGGTAAGTGGGACTTAAATCACAGCAGCTCACTGAACTGTAACTCCCTTATTGCCCACTCCCTACCACTCACAAAAAGCTAGACCTGACATTAAATTAATAATTATAATATTAAAACCAGCTACTCTGGTAAATTAAAGCTGTGGACTGTATGTGACTTGACTTGCTGAGTACACAAAATATAATTAGTACTAACACTTACTATTTAATTACTGTAGATGGATCACACAACACCTGCCTAACACCTACACCCTACATTGGCCAGCTAGAGATCTAAATGCAAGGACTAATGGTGTACTTCCCTGTGAGTGATGCTCCTCTATCTTCTGCCATCCACACGTAATTCTTGAGGTCCCGCAAATTTCCTGTCCCAATTCTTTAGCAGGGGACATTAACACGGGTTCCTAATTACAAATTCAGGCCGAAAACTCCAAATTGACCTCAATCCAGTGTTCACACATTAGATTCAATATGGCGTCCCTCCCTGGCGTCACTTCATTTAAATTTCTCGAAGGTTCCATATAGCATCACATTTTAATACACAATTTTTATATTATATTTAAATGTTCTACATTTAGAAAATTATGTAAAAAAAATCCACAGCCAGTGTTAGACCGTATCAGGGAGGGTAATATTAAATATATGGCAGGAACAACGTGAAGAATAATCAATATGGATCTCAACATGAAAGACCATGCATCAAATTTATTTAAATTCTTTATAAAAATGTTCGAATTAAAAAGTCCCAAATTTACGAAGAAAAGTAGGTAATGTGTCCCTCAAACCTTTTGCATTTTACATCAAACATCTTTGTACCATCAATGCAATTTTTAAAGCATGTGTAGTGTAGTAAGCTCTTATAAATCTCCTGTATATTATGTTATATTTTTGGTAAATGCTATTGAAAAGTATATGTAAAATTAAATAGCACGTGCTATTAAATTTTAAATACACCTTTTCAATTTTTGGTTTGCAAAAAATCGCACTCTTCAAAATATTTTATTATTATTATTATTATTATTAGTATAAAAAAGAAACGCTAAACCTACAAGGGTCATACAGCGCAGCCGGGCAGGGAAGGGTGCCGGGGAACGGGGTAGCTAGAGGGAGAGGAATTATTATTAGGAGTGGCTGTGAGGAGTACTAGAGGCATCATCATCAGAGTTTGTGCAGTATCAAAATATTTTTGAGAGCTACATAAAGTTTACATCTATGTGCAGTAGCTTGGTATGGAAAATATATTCAAAGCCTGGACTTGAGATTTACGTACCTATAGATACTTCCCAAGTTTGTAGATGAATGGTTCAGAGAACCGACATGTTGATAAATTAGACACATGTGCAACTCTTGGGTATCTTTATTGAGGAAACGTTTCGCCACACAGTGGCTTCATCAGTCCATACATAGGAGAAACTTGAAGAACAGGAGGAGAATGAGGTAATCAGTCCCTCAACCTTGAGTCGATGTGTTCAGTCCATCAATCTTGATGGACTGAACACATCGACTCAAGGTTGAGGGACTGATTACCTCATTCTCCTCCTGTTCTTCAAGTTTCTCCTATGTATGGACTGATGAAGCCACTGTGTGGCGAAACGTTTCCTCAATAAAGATACCCAAGAGTTGCACATGTGTCTAATTTATCATCATACTTCCCAAGAATCAGTCCTCAAATCCATCTTCAAAGTCAAGGATGTAAATTATTATTATTATAATCAATGGGGAAGCGCTAAACCCGGAGGATTATACAGCGCCTAGGGGGATGTGGAAGGCATTCAGGCTTAATTCGGGGAACTGGAGCACAGATCCAATTCCCTAAATCAAGAGCCCCTCACCAACATCAAGGAACCTTCCTTGAGGGGCAAGGATGTAAAGCAAAAGCGGCTTCAGTTCACACACTGAGGGGCCGAACCTGATTCCCAGACGAGTGGAAACACTGCGCTTATATCCTTACATCGGGCTTATGTCCTTACCGGTTACCTAACAGTAAATAGGTACCCGGGTGCTAGCCAACTGGTGTGGATCGCATCCTGGGGGAAGTGGGTTAACGAACCCAATGGAAATAAGCCAGGTAGTCTCATGGCATGGTTTTAGGTTACAAAACAGCCTGTTTGTGTGTGTGGGGATGGGAGGGGCAAGGATCGGGTCTTAGTTTCTGGCCTAGCCTCTCTGCTTCTAGCCAGATTCACTCCCTCCTAGCCTCCCACCATGAGCCCTATCGTACCTGCTATGAAAACTATGCCTCCACTACTTCTTTGTCGAGATCATTCCACCTCCCAGCCACCCTGAGAATGAAAAAAAAATACTTCCTGACATCAATGTGATCTGTGTCTTTAACAAACCAAACCCCTAGCTGTCTTGAGGAAGGAACTTGACAAGTTCCTTAAGTCAGGTGCAGATTAGCAGGGTAAGTAAGGAAGTAATATATAATTACCCGGCGACTTGCATGTTTGCTGTGGGCTGCTGAGAGTTGATGATCCGGCTTCTTCACACGTGCATATTGGCAGACTCAACACCAGACCTTCAAAGGTTAAATAATTGAGTCACTGTCGCTCTTCCATCAAGGTCGCAGTAAATTAGTAAATTCAGTAACGATCATGCAACACCAGGTGATCCTAGGATCCATCTGTGTTGTGTGGAAGTGGAAGACATCATCACATCTTGTGATATCTTAATTTTAACGGGGTGGACTGCTTTGTGCTGGGTGGGGATGGGGATTATATTCATGGGTGATGGGGATTATATTCATGGGTGATGGGGATTATATTCATGGGTGATGGGGATTATTATATTCATGGGTGATGGGGATTATATTCCTGGGTGATGGGGATTATATTTATGGGTGATGGGGATTATTATATTCATGGGTGGTGATGAGGGTTACAGTTATGGATGGTGATGATGGTTATATTCATGGGTGGTGATGAGGGTTACAATTATGGGTGGTGATGAGGGTTATATTCATGGGTGGTGAAGAGGGTTATAATCATGGGTGCTAGTGATTATATTCATGGGTGGTAATGATTGTTATATTCATGAGTGGTGATGAGGGTTATAGTCACAGGTGGTGATGAGGTAATTAATTTTACATTCACCTTCACAGTCGTCATGGAAAACTAAAAGAGGCAGTGTTTCCGGCTACTTCCTGGCCTCCCGCAACATGCAGTGGATACCAGTAAGTATATCTATCATTCTATCTGTTTATCTATTCTTTGATCAGTCTATGCCTCTCAAGAAGTGCTAATTAAAAAAAAATCATCATTACCCCTTGAGGTGGCTAATAAAATCATAATTATCTCCTGTAATCCTGTAACAATAATAATAATAAAATTGTATTCATCGGAAGCACTAACCCGTAGGGGCATAATGCCTTTGGAATGAGATAAGATTTCGTTCGGATTTTTAACCCCGGAGGGTTAGCCACCCAGGATAACCCAAGAAAGTCAGTGCGTCATCGAAGACTGTCTAACTTATTTCCATTGGGGTCCTTAATCTTGTCCCCCAGGATGCGACCCACACCAGTCGACTAACACCCAGGTACCTATTTGCTGCTAGGTGAACAGGACAACAGGTGTAAGGAAACGTGTCGAAATGTTTCCACCCGCCGGGAATCGAACCCGGGCCCTCCGTGTGTGAAGCGGGAGCTTTTAGCCACTGGGCCACCGGGCCAGGAATGTGATCAGGAATGATCCAAAGAAAAGGAAGGTAGCAGCAGTTCTTTGGATCAAGAGTCTTTCATCAACCAGTTAGTTATATACAACAAAAATGCTTCAATCTTCAACAATACTGCCTATGCCCACATTAATATCCCATGCCAATGCTGATGTCCTATGCCCGGACAGCAGTTCCACATCCACACTGATGTCCAATATCCACTAATCTTCCACACCCACAATGATGCCCATGGCCTGACATATGCTCCTGCCCACACTTTTGTTTCTGCCCACATTGACACACTTGCACTTGCAGACATTAATACTCCTGCTCACTGATGATCCTGCACACATTGATGCCTCTACCCACACTAACCGCTACTCCTTTCACAGGTGGGTGCATCACTCTTCGCCAGTAACATTGGGTCAGGTCACTTCATAGGACTAGCGGGGTCAGGAGCAGCCTCAGGTATTGGCATCGCCGCTTTCGAACTAATTGTAAGTCTGATTCTGTTTTATATTATGCAGGGAGTGAAAGCTAAACTTCCAGTAAGACAGAGTGAACTGGGAATACATACAACCTTCTACTTCTACACTATTTGATTAAAGGACACACGTGTAACTAATGAAACATTTTACTACAGCAACATTTAAGTGCACAGGAGCTTTGTCAAGCTCTTGGTGTTTGTTTGACAAAACGCCTGGAGTGTAAAACATTGCTGCAGTAAAATGTCTCTAGTGTCATGTGTTTTTTGCCTTACATTTTATTGGTAATTCTACCAACTTTATTACAACATCTCACACTGCCATAATTATCAGCCTTCCTAGCCTCTTTTTTAGAATCCAATGAACTATTAAAGCAAATCCTATCAGACAGTTCCTAACTAGCAGGGCTGAGTTTAGCATTATTTCTGAAGGGCCACTTATTTTGGTAATGTTTGAAGAGCACCACTTCAGTCCCACTGGTTACTACTAATGAATCTATAAGCAAAATTATATTTTACAAATTGCAGTCAGAGTCATATGCCATCCAATGTTAATGAAAATAACCAGATAGCATCTCACCAGAGATTTGAAAAAAAGATATCTACCTCTAAACATGTTAACATCTGTATGTTTTTCTTACATACAGAGCCCCTCATGGAAGGTTCCTTGATGCTGGTGAGGGGCTCTTGATCTGCTCCAATTCCCTGTATTAAACCTGAATGCCTTTCATTGTTCCCCACCCCCCCACACACACACAAGCACTGTATAATCCCTATGGTGACCAGGCTAATTCATAGGGTTCCTTATTTGTGGGTTTTGATTACTAAACTTTTTTTTTACCAATGAGCAGTTAGCAAGCAAATTCAGTTACATGTATCCAACATTTTTTTGCTCAATAGCTGTTCCAAGCCCAAATGTCTTGATTTTCTTTATTTTTTATGAATGTTAACATTAACTAGATTAGAGTGGTATGTTTCAGAGATAATATCCAAAACTCAAAATAAACACAAATATGAAACAAAATTTATTGTGCAAACTTAATTTTGTATTATTTGCAATTTCTAGTTCGTTGGACTGCTAGGAACAGAATCCTTCCCATGAATTTGGAGAAATTATTTTATAATTCAATAAAAATATGAGAAGCAATAAACCGTGCAAGTTTGTACAGCACTTAAGTAATAGAAGGTAATTAGGTTTGATCCTAAAATTCCTTAGATCTAGAATCCTTCAACAGCATTACAAAACCCTCTTGAAGGGTCTAATGTAAATATAATGTTTATTACTCCATGATATTTAGAAGCGGTTTTTATTGAGTTGGACATTTATGTTGGTGCTGTTCAGGAGTATTTAATCTAATAAGCATAGCATATGTTGCTTAAACTTTCAGTAAGTTTACATGCTTATATTACTAGGTTGGGTGTTCATGCATGGTTAATCTAATGTAAATGTGTTCTTCACACTTTTAGGCAGTTTATGTGCTGATGTTACTGGGTTGGGTGTTCACGCCGGTGTACATGAGCTCGGGTGTGTACACTATGCCAGAATACCTAAGGGAAAGATTTGGGGGCCAGCGGATCAGAGTCTACCTCTCCTGTCTTGCTCTCCTCCTCTCCATCTTCACCAAAATATCTGTAAGTTTGTAGTATATGACTATTATGGTAGAATTATATTTGTGAAGAAATGATAAACCCACAGGAGTCATGCAGCACCTGGGGAATGAGTCAAAACAGGCTTGATCTAAGGAAGGGGAGGGTAGCTCCAACAGCTTGAATGAGTAGCTCTTCAACAGCATTATGGCACCTCATTGAAGGATTTACTTGTTATTCCTAGCTCTAAGTTTCCCAACACAAATAAGGCAATTAATCAGTTGTTTCCAGCTCAAACTTTCAAGCCATTTTTGTATGATATTATTTCAAATTCTAGTCTCCTAAAGACAGATGTGTATTGATTCTTGTAAATTTTTGTTGAGAATTTGAGTTCTCTGTCTTCTAGTTACTGGACTTGTATAACATATGTGATGTGTGTTGCAGGCTGATCTGTATGCGGGAGCATTGTTCATCCAGCAGACACTGAACAAGAACAGTGAGGAGTGGATGTATATTAGCATCTTGATCCTGTTGGCCATAGCTTCCATCTTCACCATCACAGGAGGACTCACAGCTGTCATCTGGACAGATTTTGTGCAGACCATCATTATGCTTGTTGGTGCCTTCATCCTCATGGGCATAAGTGAGTACTGGCATGCATTTACTTATCTACCTATGGTTATACGGTTAAGAGTCTCAGCTTCTGGTCTTGCCTAACTGCATACAGCTGGATTCATTAATTTCTTTTCTTATGGACCCTGTCATAATTATCCTTAAGGCTATGAATGGTGTTGCTTCCACCATCTTGTCTAAGTTACAGGTATTTCACTTTATGACCACCCTAAGGCTGAAGAACTGCTTAACATCCCTATAACACATTTTTTGTCTTCTATGTTTTCTGTCTTCTTCCCAATCACTGCCTTTCAAACAGTCTGTCTCTGTCTGCTCTATCAAGGCCTCTGATTATCTTGTACTCTTTTATAGACCTGTCATATGCTTATATAGAGTACTGAATGATTGTGTTAAGGTTCGTAAAAACCATTTTTTGACTAGTTGTGCCTGGGGCAATGTGTATGGTACTATACTATGTGTTACATCAAGGTCTTGTTAAAGATTTTTGATAAGGCTCAAACAGTGCTTCTTTTCTCATTAGCAAACCCATGGACAAACATTATCAGGTACTATTGCTTCTGGAGCATCAGTTCATCATAGGTTTCCTCAGTCTTTCCCTGATACGAGAGCATTTTCCAGTTACTGTTGGTCTACTGTACATTGTCGTTCCAGTGTTTGTCCAGTTTCTTGCAGACCTTGTCATTAACAGTAAATTCTCCCCATGACATTATTACTGTATTTGATAATTAATGGTTTTTTCCTTCTGGTGTGGCTATATAACTGTTTTGGTTCTGAACTGACCCTTGTCCTTACAAATGTTTAAAATGGCCTGTTTTTTTTCCTTGCCCTTGAGTATTCATTCCTGGCAATGCTCACTTCTTTGTTTTCTGCCATCTTCCTCTTTCCATAGTTTTCCATACTCTATTCCTGCGCATGACATGCTGTTGGAGTGTGAGAAAGGTAACGTGAAGACATTCAGGGAAACAGGCAGGCTGGACTTGAGTTCTGGAGATGGGAAGTACAATGTCTGCACTCTGAAGGAGGGGTGTTAATGTTGCAGTTTTATAACTGTAGTGTAAGCGCACCTCTGGCAAGACAGTGATGGAGTGAATGATCATGAAAGTTTTTCTTTTTCGGACTACCCTGCCTTGGTGGGAGATGGCTGATGTGTTAATAAAAATAATAAATAAAATATAAATTCCTACCATTGACACTTCTTATGTGGTATAAATTTCTCTTCTCAGCACTTCCCAGATAAGTACTTCACCATCACATTGTTTACCTTTCCTTCAATTTCTCCTTCCCACTATACTTTGTTAAGGAAAACTTTCAACCTCATGTAATTCCTGGTCTGGTTGTCTGGCTTTACTCTCTTTTCCTTCCATATAAGGTTTATTTTCACTAGGTAGTCAAAGACCAAGATGTGTAGTCACTTACTCTCACTGGCTTCCATAAAGTAAGTGTATTTTCTCTATATCTGCCATATTTGATATAAAAACCAGATCCAGTCTTAATGGTTCCTACTCTTTCTCTTAACATGTCTTGTACATGCTGGTAGATGGAGTACTTCATCAACTTGGTTTTTCATGGAGTTCCCAGTCTATCTCCTCCCAGTTAGAGTTTGTTAGTACATATATGTAGTTTTGTCTTCATGCAGGGTGCTCTCCTGGCAACATCCTTGATGGCTTTTAGCACATCTAATAATATAATAATAAGATCTTTATTTTTACAAGTACATGGTATACAGGCCTAGCTGACATCAATGGCACACTACTAGAAAGCTGCTTGTTATGCAGAGCATTTTGGGCAAATTAGGTCAATTTCCTCCCAGGATGTGACCCACACTGGCCGACTAATACATGTACCCAGGTACCCATTATTGCTGATGGGTGAACATGGACAACCGGTGTAAGGAAACATGCCCAATGTTTCCAGCCTTTGTCGGAAATTGAACCCGAACCCTCATCGTGTGAAGTGAGAGCTTTTGCCACCAGGCCACTTTGATGTCTTTATACTACTGCCTAGGTTTGTATCCTGGTCAGTTCCTCAAATTTCTACTTATTCCTTCCTTCCCTTCCTAGTTTCTCATTGCTAGATACTCGACTCAACTCAAAATATCATTTTTGTTATAGTTTCTGTTAATTTTGCATCTTCAATGGCTATTATGTTTACAAGCACCCCTGTAATTTGTTTAATTCACCAGTATTGTTATTTTATATAAAAGCTAAATTTGCAGGATGGCATAATCCCAATCAACATACTGTATCTTAGGTCAGCCTTATCTTAGAATTATTTATTACTGTGTATTCAGATTGATTTTCATTGAATTATTGCAATAATGAATTCACATTTGGCTAAGCCACAAGTGCAAGCTTCACCTAAATAGTATGACATACCCCTGTGAAAGATTTCATTAGCAATGTAGCCCAACAGAAGATTTTGCTAAACATCAATGTATCTATGCATATTTTGTATGCTAGCAATGTAACCATAAAGAAGCTCTGTTTTAATCTACAGTAATAGAATGAAGCCATTCAAAACTTTAAAATGCTGAATACATCACTTCAACACATACATGCCTTGCACTTTATCATACCCCATCATCCAAATAATTAATGTTTCTCCTTAGAGTTCTTATTAGCCATACTAACACCTCTGTCCTTGGGTTGTGAAGCCTTCTATGAGGTGGGTGGGTACGATGCCCTAGTGGATGACTATTTCTACACCATACCTAGCAAGACCAGATACTCACTCAGAGATAATACCACTAACTGTGGGGAGCCTCCATCCTACGCCATGCACTTCTTCAGATCCATTAAGCCCGGGGAATCAGACCTGCCATGGACAGGCATTATCTTCGGCATCACCATCTCTGGCATCTGGTACTGGTGCACTGACCAGGTGACTAAACTAATCTGTGGTAAAGAAAAGGATTTCTTGATTTTTTCCCTAGCTAGGCATTCAATAGTTAATTGGCAGGCAGAAATACCAATTTAAATTCAGAAATTATTCATAAGCAAACCATAAGTATCAAAACACTAACACAAATATGAAAATGATTGGCAAAAGGTTTTTTGTAGTCACTTAATATTCTTCATCAGTGCTATGAGGAAATACCAGGAAAAATATGCAAGCATCACTCTTAGCTTAGACTGAAGCTTAAGGCATTGTGAGAAATGTATAAGAAAAATGGACGAGAGGCTAGTGGCAAAGATGCCACCAAAATGAAAGCTCAGTACTGTACAGTAGTAAAGACTGGACAACACAAGATTACATCCATCTAAAAAATATATTTCATAAATGTATATAACCTTGCATTAGCCAGTCTTCAATGATAACCATTTATTCTAGTGACACCTGTCTCACTAAGCTCCTCATTATTTTTCCTTTATATTTCCCATACAGCTTCAAGCTTGGGCCTAAGCTAAATTTAATCTCTGCTCATTTTTCTGATATTTCCTCAGGGTACTGATAAATCATCCTTAGTGATTGCAGAAAGCTTTTGTTAACAGTTTTCCCATTTTTACATCATTATTTGATGTTTAATTTTCATAAGATGTGCATTTTTGCCATAAATGATTGTTTTCTCACTAACTAACAATCGTGCTTGCCTTAGACCTGTTTTCCTGTGTTGTGAACATATTTGTGAATTGTCTGCAGCTATTATCAAGTTTTGTATCATCATTTATCAAAACTTATACTTCATCTCTTCTGCACCTGCCCAAAAAAAGGAATCACTGCCTATCCTTGATGCATGGTGTAGCCTGTTGTATGGTAGTTTAGAATGCTTAGTTTAACCTCTTTAGCATGCTTCGTGTAGCCTATTGTATGTTTAAGGTGCTTGGTGTGGCCAATTATTTGTTTCAGATGTTTAGTGTACAATATTGTAGGGTTAGGATTTTTAAGTTAGCTTACTGTATGTTAAGGATACTTAGTGTAGCATACTGTACTGCATATTTCAGTGTGTCATACTGAATGTTTAGGATTCTTGGTGTTGTCTATGCATGTCTACTGTTAAACCACCAAAATATTGGCATGATCAGCCAGGAGACTTTTTGAAAGGAAAAACAATATCAAGAGCTTCTCACATTGGTCTTCAGATGCATGATAGAACTGATGAATTGACTAAGTTATATGCTTTCAAAGAGAGAGTAGATTACAATCTTGGCTTGTCAGTTAGCAATCTGAGAACAATAATATGAAAAGAACTTCAACTGAACTTTATTGACTTAAGACCGAGGGAGATTGACACCAGTCAGTCCATCTTTCATCATTCTATCATACAGGAGGAGCCACATGTCTATGGTGCATCCAACAAAATAAGCAGACTGTTAGATGTTGCTACCGTGTGCTCCGGCTGGGTTACAAGTATCTTTGGAAGGTTAAATTACCACCACTAGGTGTAGACCAAATAAAATGTAAACTTTGCTAATGGACTATGTCACACCTTGCGTCATTATATATTGGAATGCGATAAAATTAATGAATTCAGAGACAACTCGCTCAGAAATGTTCAAGATATGTCAAAGTATTTTATCCACAGTGGTATATTACAAACCATTCTGGAAAAATACCCTGACTTTGCTTTCTGTAAATAAAGCTAATTTTTTTTTTTCAACAAACCAGCCGTATCCCGCCAAGGCAGGGTGGCCCAAAAAGAAAAACAAAAGTTTTTCTTTTTAACCCTTTCAGGGTTGGTCCCGTACTAGTATGGCTTGCATGCCAGGGTTGGTGCCGCACTAGTATGCATAAAATCTAGCACCTTCAAATCTAGCGAGAGAAAGCTGGTAGGCCTACATATGAAAGAATGGGTCTGTGTGGTCAGTGTGCATGGTATAAAAAAAAAATCCTGCAGCACACAGTGCATAATGAGAAAAAAAAAACTCCGACTGTGTTTTTTGGTTTTAAACAGCGACTTTGCAGTGTATTTTCGTATGCTATTTATGCTTGTATTCTAGTTTTCCTGGTCTCATTTTATAGAATGGAAGACATATTATGGAAATTGAGATGATTTTGATTGGTTTCACAATGAAAAGTACCTTGAAATTGAGTTCACAGTAGCAGAAATGTTCGATTTTTGCCAAAGTTCAAAGGTAAACAAATCATGCCACGCGTCCAATACACATCAACTGGTGAGTGTAATATTCTTTCACAAGTGCCCTGATATTATTTATACCATTTCTATGCCATTTCTACATGAATGCAGTAGTCTGCATAACATAAATCTTCTATTTTTTGTGAGAATAAAAATTCAAAGTGGAAAGCAAAAGAAATGTAACAGAGGCCTGGGGACATGAGTAGTGAACAGAGGAAATGTTATTTTAGTGTCAGAAATGTCTGTCTTGTTTATTCTGGACCCTATTTGGAAATTGGCATCTTTTGAAATTTGTGTGAAATTGGCAAAATTGTTATTGGATAGTGGAAATCGGTAAATGGGTGGTTTCTTGTACTCATTTGATAGAAAAAATGGAGTTCTAGCAAAATAGGTATGATTTTTGTCGTGTGGTACATTGGAATTGGCCGAAAATAGGGCTCAAAGTGGGCGAAATCGCCGATGCGTAAACATTGTCGAGACCACTAACTTCGCGAGAGCATAACTCAGTAAATTTTCCATCAAATTTCATACTTTTGGTGTCATTATGATCAGGAAAAGATTCTCTATCATTTCATAAGAAAAAATAATTTTTTTTTTTTTTTGAAAAATTTCTGACCCTGAGAACAAGTTTAGGAGAGGCCCTGCTGACCCTGAAAGGGTTAAATTTAGTAATTTGTACCTTAGAAGGGGTTACTAGCCCCTTGCTCCCGGCATTTTATTCGCCTCTTACAACACGCGTGGCTTACAGAGGAAGAATTCTGTTCCACTTCCCCATGGAGGTAAGAGGAAATAAACAAGAACAAGAACTAGAAAGAAAATAGAAGAAAACCCAGAGGGGTGTGTATATATATGCTTGTACATGTATGTGTAGTGTGACCTTAGTGTAAGTAGAAGTAGCAAGATGTTCCTGAAATCTTGCATGTGTATGAGACAGAAAAAAAAGACACCAGCAATCCTACCATCGTGTAAAACAATTACATCCATATTACACTCACTTGGCAGGACGGTAGTACCTCCCTGGGCAGTTGCTGTCTACCAACCTACTACCTAGAATAAAGGTAATACAGTTGACCCTCAACTAATGGCGGCATTAAGTAACGGCAATTTCATCTAACGGCACTTTTTGTCATAGAAAAAATGCCTTAACCAACAGCGAAAGACTTAGCCAACGACGTTCATCCAGAATCTGTGGACGTGCGCCCAGCCACTCCAAGAGTCAGTGTGCCATTGTTAAGCTGTTGCGGTCAGTTTCCACGTGTGCCCCCCATACATCTTGGATTATTCCACTATTTCTATTGCTTTTAAACGCTAAATAAGCCACCATAGACCCCACGAAAGCTTCTAAAGCCAGCCCTTTGGTAAATAATGTGAGAAACATGATAGAATTCAAGAAAAAGTTTGTAGAAAAATACGAGTGGTGGTGGTGGTAGAAGGTGGTAGCGATAGTGGTAGAGGGTGGTAGTGATGGTGGTAGAGGGTGGTAGTGATGGTGGTAGAGGGTGGTAGTGATGGTGGTAGAGGGTGGTCCAGTGATTCTCAAGCTGGTCCTAGTGGCATTAAAAAACCAAGGAGGGAGGTAACCCCACCAAAGGACTTGGTACCTTAAGTCAGTGGTCAGTCGTCACGTGAGGTCACAGACCCTGAGCTGCTTTGGGGATTAGCGTGGACGGTTACAAAGCATGGCTTGCTTCTGCAGTGTTTTAAAAACTGAGGTTGGAGAGTTGAAGGAGGAGGTCTTGCTTCTCCAGGAGGAGATTAGGAGGCTGAAGGTCCACCTCAATGGGTCTGGGAGAGAGTGTGAGGTGGCTGGAGTTGTGGGGAATGAGACTTCTAGCAGTGAGGTGCAGTCTGTCTCTCGCTGTGAGGAGGCTGTAGTTGGGGAGGTAGCAACAGCTACCAGCAGTGAGGTCAGCCCAGCACCTGCTGCAAGTGGCGAGTTGTTCACAGTAATGGGAGGCGCATCAGAGTAAGGAAAGTTAAGAGTGAAGAGCTGAAGGTAGGAAATCGCTTCTTCTGTTCTCCAGGATGAATGTACTTCAGTGGCCAGTGAAGGTAAGGGTACTACTGCCCCTGCTAATGAAGGTAAGCGCATTCTTGTGGTTGGTGACTCTCAGGTAAGATATATTGACCGTGCTTTTTGTAATAGGAATAGAAGATGAGAGATAGAGTGTGCTTCCCTGGAGCTGGTGTTGGGGACATTGTCAACAGGCTGGATAATATCATGTCAGGTAATGGGAACAAGCCATTATCTGTCTCAGTGCTGGTGGAAATGATATTGGGAAGGGTAGGAGAGAAGAGCTGCTAGATAAGTACAGGTCAGCTATAGATTTCATTAAGTCTAAGGGAGGGATCCAATCATATGTAGCATCTTGCCTAGAAGGGGAGTAGGAAATGAATGGTTGTCTAGGGCATTGGTGTAAATTGCTGGCTAGACAGATACTGCAAGGAACTTGCAATCCCATTCATTGACAACTGGAACAACTTTTATGGCAAACATGATATGTATGCAAGGGATGGGGTACATCTCTCTGGGCAGGGGTGGTAGCACTTGCAGACTCGATTGAGAAGGCCATTGGTGAAATGCCTATGATTTTAAACTGATGGAAGATAGAGGTATGGGTGTGTGTGGGAAACAAGCAGGTTGCAACACTAGGGTTGGAACAGTAATGTATAAAAAGGCATTCAGCATGAAGTTATAAATAAAACAATAGAACAGGTCAGCTAACAAAGGGGGGCAGCAGAGGGCAGCAAGGGACTAGCTCCCTTAAGGTTTACTATACTAATAGCAGGAGTGTTAGAAATAAGATAGATGAGCTAAGATTAATTGCAAGTGCAGGAACATAGATATTATTGCTATAACAGAGACCTGGCTCAATCTGAAAGATAGAGAGATGCCCTC